CTCTTTTGGAAGGCCAAACCAAGTAGTTTCGCTTTCACAGCGAAACACACAGCGTCTGCACGACATGGCGGCAGCAACAATACTAAAGCGAAAATAAAAGTTAAGCCTTTTTTCTTTGCGTGAACATTTGGGCGGCGTTATGCAAATCTTCCCACATCGTGACGTAGACATGTGGGGACGTGTTAGAACGAGCCGTTTTAGGTAGGCGTGGTTGACTCTCAACTTTTATAAAGAATATCTCTTTGGATTTGAGACTTTAGTCTTTGCAACTTTACAGATCTTCTTTATGCACCAAGAGCTTGTAACACTCCAAAGAGAAAGGAAAAATTGAAATCGCATCATATGACCCCTTTAACTCCTCTCTTAACCCTAACGGTGTCCATATTTGCTCACAGCTCATGGAGGTTACAGGGAAGAACCAAGACGATTGTATGGTTGCTCTTCACGACTGCAACGAGGATGTCAACAGAGCCATCAACTTCCTGCTTGAGGGAACTTCTGATTCGGTAAAAATCTTATCTATCAGATGCATATGTGGTCTAGACTACTTAGTAGGCACTAAAACTCATGATGAGTTTTTGAAAAATGGGAACTGGTTTTACTAATAATGTCGCTACTGTCAGCTGTTTTGTGGCAGGCCTTTAAAGGCAGAACAATGATTTGTCTTTTTATTTTTCTGCATGTTTTTTCTTTTTTTTTAAGCTAAATGATGAACATACCATAGTGCTTAATGTCCAGATTCATGTGTGATTGATGCTAATCTACTTCATATAAAACATCTGTGATTGTTGTGGAGAAATTTGAGAGGCCCCTGCTTATAGACTAGGATTTGTTTGAATGATTTCTGGGAATGAAACTCTAAAATAGAAAGTGGGTCGCTTCTGTAGTGTTGATCAGAAGGTAATCCTGTGTCATAACAGACCTCTGCCTCCACCTCTGTGCCATAATACAAGCTCCTAAATGTCCTTCATCAGCAGTAATGATTCAACAACAATATGATAAGCAACCTTTTAAAAAAAATAAAAATAAAAATCAGTTATGTAAAATGACACTGCATTGACATCTGGCATCCGCTGTGTGATTATCTTTTTTTTAGTTTTTTTTGTTCATTCTGACTGCCACTAATTCATCTCTCGGTCGTCGTGCAGACCTCTTGGGAAACAGTGGGGAAAAAGAAAAGTCTTGGAAAGGATGCCACCTCCACAGAGAGTAAGGAAAACAAGGAGAACAGGGAGAAGAAAGAGCGGGAAAGCAGCAAGGGTCGTGGAGGAGCGAGCCGTCGTGGCAGAGGGACCAGTCGCAACCGGCAATGTGAGTGTGTTGGTGAGATTTCCTTGTGTTTACATAATAATAATAATAATAATAATAATTCATTACATTTATATAGCGCTTTTCTAGGCACTCAAAGCGCTTTACATTGTCAGGGGGTATCTCCTCATCCACCACCAGTGTGCAGCATCCACCTGGATGATGCGACGGCAGCCATAGTGCGCCAGAACGCCCACCACACACCAGCTTATTGGTGGAGAGGAGACAGAGTGATGAAGCCAATCAGTAGATATGGGGATTGTTAGGAGGCCATGATGATCAGAGGCCAATGGGCAAATTTGGCCAGGATGCCGAGGTCACACCTCTACTCTTTTCGAAAGACATCCTGGGATTTTTAATGACCACAGAGAGTCAGGACCTCGGTTTAACGTCTCATCCGAAGGATACATAGCTGTTTTGTTTGTGTTCGGCAGCAATATTTAGACAATATTTTGGTCCGTTTGATTGTGTGTGAGTAGGTTTAAAATTTTAAAAGATTTATGTGTGATTTTATTTTATTATCTATATAGCAAGGACGGAGGAGAATGGTGTGGACCCTGCTCCTGTTGAGAGAGGTGCTGACCGTGGCCGCAGGGGAAGAGGGAGAGGTGAGCCCGCACACACAGTGTAAACATTTCCCACACGGTCTTTTGCGTCAGTTATGCTTTTTAGGGATGTGCAAAACTACATTTACAAAATCGATTAACTGGGCTTTCTGTATTAGGGAAGCCCTGTATGATTAGACTCATGTCCACCAGACTCCAATCAGATGTAGTTTTTAGAGATTTATAGATATAGCTCTTTACTAGGGTGACTGGCATACATTCATCAAATAAATTTTAAGTCAAGTCAAGTCACCTTTATTTATATAGCACTTTTAACAATACAGATTTTGTCAAAGCAACTTTACAGTATTAAATAGGAAAATAGTGTGTCAATAATGCAAAATGACAATAGTAAACACTCAATTTTCAGTTACATAAAATGACCATAGTCCTTAAAAACTCTGAGATAGAATTGTTACTCATAGCAGGTGATTTGAAGTTTCAAAAGCGGTGCTTTGATGTTTGTAGCAGTGGTGCTTTAAAGGGGATGAATTTCTCAGAGTGGGTTTTACCCCCCTAACAGCCTGACAGTTTTAGCAGCTATAGAATGTCAGCAGCACATTAAATCCTTCAGTGAGAAGTTGCATCTCCCTTTTTGAAGTGGAATTTAAAAATCTAGCTGTTGGACATTTAGGATGTTTGACCATCCTCCTGACTCATCCCTAGTGTTCATGAGTTTGTTTTTTGTTCAGTGTCTGGAGGTAGAGGCAGAGGTCGGGCTCCGGTTACCAGCAGGTTTACAGCACAAGGGATGGGGTGAGTATCAGTCAAATTATATTTTAACCTAGAATATTCTCATTATCATACAGCAGCCACCTGAAATCCTGTCTTACACTCTGTGTATCCTCCTGCAGAACCTTTAACCCTGCAGACTACACTGCAGACAGCGGGACATCAAATTCACACACTGATGTCTGGGAGACGGGGGCCAATGACACTGCAGATGGGACAGGTAAGAGACCTCTATTGCACAGAACTTATTTCCCAATCCTTAGGCCCACTCTCATCTCTCTTTCTCTCTTTGACACGGTCTGTTCAGTGGCATGGCAGAACACTTCGGACGAGTGGGCAGCTGAAGACTGGAGTGAAGATGTGAGTGTGAGTCATGCGCTATAATTAACCTTCTGTGCATTATGGGATTTACAGAGCTTGAAATTAATAAGCCGGAAAAGACATGGTACAGTGCACAGCATAAATGAGTATACCCCCTCTGAAACTTAACAAATTCAGCAATTACTCTTTGCTTAGAAGACATGTTTTGCTATTTTAGAGATATAATATTCCAGCAAGTCTGCTTCATCAGTTACCAAAGAAGAATGTTAAAATTATTCAAGAAAATACAATTTTCTTATCAAAGTGATAAAATGTTGTGTTGCACAATGGCATGTATTTCTCTGTTTTTATTAAGAATATGTTTACATTTCATTACATTTCAATTTTGCCATCTTTCTATGAATTATATTAGTGTTCATTAAGAAAATACATCTTTTATATTTAATCAGAGGGGGTGTACTCATTTATGCTGTGCACTGTATATGTGTTGTCCAGAAATGTAAAGGTTAGCATGTAGACAATTGTAATGTAACATTTTTAAAATTATTTTATAGAAATTAATTTTGTAACATCTGTCTTTATCATTTTTGTGTGTTATATAAAACAGTTATATATTAATTTTTTTTTACAATTCTTAAAATCTTAAAATTATTACATTATAAATGTATAATATAATTTAAATACTACATAAATATAATTATATAATTATTGTTATATATTGCTATTTCTATTTAATATTTATATATTGCTTGTATAATTTTATATCTCTTTCATGATATCTCTTATCTCATATTTGTAGAAAAAAATATTTCACATTTTACTGCTACAAAAATAAAAGTACTAACTGGCCCTATTTAATCTCCAAAGCTCTCTGAGACCAAAGTGTTCACTTCCTCTTGTGCACCTCCAGCTGAGAACCACATCACACCTGGCCAAAGGTAATAACGTCAGAACTGGGGTTCTCATTTCATTCCAATCTTGTGATGATTACCGCATTTGCATATAGCTTATGTTTATTTCACTGACTATTTAGTGTATTTCGTTGTAGTCTGGATCTATCAACTCTGCTGCAGAAGCCTGTGGATCGTGAGGAGGTGGGAGGTCTGAAGGCCGTGGGCTCCTCTCAGGGGCTTGGCCACAGTCTAGTCTTCACCAACTCCCACCACCAGCCTGCTCGAAACGGAGGCACATCTACTGGTTCCAACAGCTACACACACGCCACCCTGGTGAGACAATCCACAGGCCTGATTTATAGCATTTAGAAAACCGTTTTCCTAGAGGATGAATGGCAGTAACTAGTGAACCTATGTTAAAGGGATAGCTCACCCAAAAATGAAAATTCTGTCATTAATTACTCACCCTCATGTCGTTCCAAACCTGTAAGACCTTCGTTCATCTTCGAAACACAAATTAAGATATTTTTGATGAATTCCGAGAGCTCTCTGTCCCTCACATAGACAGCAAGGATCCTAACATGATCAAGGTCCAAAAACGTAGTAAGGACATCGTTAAATTAATCCATGTGACATCATTGTTCCAACTGTAATTTTGCAAAGCTACAAGAATACTTTTTGTGCACAAAGAAAACCAAAATAACGACTTTATTCAACAATTCTTCTCCTCCGCGTCACCCTGGCGCCATTTTGGAGAGTATCACATACGTAAATAACGTATGCGACGTATGTACGCGGATACATTGTTTACGTTCAGATCAAAGCGTAAACAACATATATTCATAAAATTATGGTTGAACCACTGATGTCACATGGATTATTTTATCGATGTCCTTACTACGTTTCTGGACCTTGATCGTGTTAGGATCTAGGGCTGTGCAATTAATCGTATGCGATTGTCATGCGCATCTCGTCAGTAAAGCCGGTTCCGTGATTAGTAGTAAATCTCCATCACCTGCTTTCAGATGGAGTGGCATTTACTACACAGATTATTTGTTTTACTTTCTAGTTAGTTACTTTAAGAATAGTTGTATTGTGGTATATTGTTCAAATGCACTAGAGCTGGTAGAGGTGAGATCTGAATAGGTTCCCCCTCCTTTGTGTCTTTTTCCAGTCCTCTGTTTTGGGTTCTGGTTTTGGAGAGCTGGGTGGTCCAAAACTCGGGCAGACGGCTGGGCAGCAAATACTGGAACAGCTGAAGGGGCCTGGTCTTGGGCAGCTTACCTCCCAGCCCTCCAGCACAGGGACCAACTGCACCCCTGTAGGGGGGCTGGTGGGGACGGGGATGTCTGTCCCCTCCTCCTCCTCCTGGGACATCAAACCTCCTAGAACACAGAGCTCCGTTTCACTCCCCTCTCAATTCAGTCGTGAGTGTTACAAATGCTTTACTGAACCAGAAACACAAACTTGCTCAGTCTTGCAAACACATGGCTATGCATTAACACTTTTGATCTGTTCACACCAAAATCTGATGTTTCTACACAAATAAACAAGTACAAGCATCTTTTAAAACAATTGAAACTATTAATTCCAATGATCTTCACACTGCATCCATTTTTTTTTTTTTATGTGAATGGCTTTTCTGAATCTTTTGCACTGTAGGGGAGTTTCAGATGCAGCCAGAGCCATCTTTGGTGCTAAGCCAACTCGCCCAGCGACAGCAGGGCTCCATGACCCACACAGGGCCTCTAGCCAGGCAGCCCAACCCTCCCTCACTGAGTGCCCCTTCGCCCGCCCCGTGCACACTGGAAGCCTTTCCTAAAGCACCGGAACCTTCTCAGCACCGTGACGGGCCCTCGATGGCCCCCTCACAGGCAGCCGAATCTCAAAGCAGCAGCATACAGCAGCGGCAGATAAAGACTCAAAAGCGACGGATACCTCCCACTTCAAAGGTGACTAGAGATTAAAAAAGCATTGAGTTGGAAGGCTTTGTGAGATCTCTCAGTGAACTGTCTATTACAAACTACAGTTTATAGATAAACATACATGAAATGGCCTTCGAAAGCCATTTTGCTTACATAATCTGGCTTATTTCTGGGTTCAGTTTTCAAGCATAAAGAGTGTAGGGTGGGGCTTGATTTTATCCATCTGGAATTTATTGAATTGTGAAAAGTGGGTGTTACCAGAATAGAGGCGAGAGCAAGTTACAAAGACAATGCACAGAAAATGCACAGATGAATTGCTTTGACGTTTATATTTTTTTGCCATTGTTATGTTATGTTTCTGGCTTGCATTAATTATTAATTGAAAGTCAGTATCACAAAATGTTGAAATGGTCTTTTAATTAAAAAAAATAAAATAACCACAAACTTTTAATATGCGTATATTTGTACACATCCAGATTCCCGCGTCTGCTGTAGAGATGCCCGGCTCAGCAGATGTGTCCAGTCTAAATGTGCAGTTTGGTGCCCTGGACTTTGGTTCAGAATCTGCCCTGCCGGACTTCGGCCAGTCGGAGAACTGCACCAGTGAACCCATAAGGGAGGCTGCTGTGGTTCCTCAGTCACAGAGCAGCCTTTACTCTAAACCAATCAGGTCAGTCAGTGGTAGAAATGGAAGCACTGAGGACAAAATGGTCTTGATGTTTTTTTTTTCTTTTAGCAGTGGACTTCATGTATTGATGATTTTCCTTAATCTCTCAACGCATGTCTTTCAAACCAATGCTCTCTCTTTAGCTATAAAATCTCTCCATTTTGCATGCTAATATGTTTCCCATGATCTCCCCTGCAGTGAATCTCTGACCAGTCCGGTCCCTTTGCTGCTGCCTCTGGTCTCTTCTGACAGTATCTACCCCTCTCCCTCGGTACCTCTCCCCAGCCTCGCCCCCTCCCACACCACCCCCAGCTCGGCCGCAGCCCCCTCGTCCTCTTCATCCTCCTCTTCATCCTCCACTGCATCATCGGCTGGTAACAGCTTTGACTGCGGTGTGGCTCCTCACTCAAGATTGACCTTCTCTCAGAGCAAGGAGCCTTCTGGACCTGTGACAGTGAGTACAGACAGAGAAACTATAGTTTTAGATGTTTTACAGCTACAGAGCTGTGAAAATTTAAAGTTGATTTCTCAGTTAAAGGGTTACATCAACCAAAAATGAGAAAAAAAATTCACAATTTACACTACTGTGGAAAGGTTTGGGGTTCTTAAAGATTTTATTCAGACTTTTATTCAGCAAGAATGCATCAAATTGTTCAAATTTTCAAATGTTCTTTTCACATTTTCTACAAAAATATTAAGCAGCACAACTGTTTTCTGTTTTCTAAAAAAATCTTTAGAACAAAGTCAGCATATTAGAATGATGTCTGAAGGATCATGTGACACTGAAGACTGGAGTAATGGCTTCTGAAAATTCAAGATTTGCCATCCCAGGAATAAATTACATTTTAAAATACTTTAAAACAGAAATCATTTCTAAATTGTAGTAACAATTTCACAATATTACTGTATTTACTGTATGTTTGATCAAGTAAATGCAGCCTTTTGTGAAGGTGCTCTCATGTTGTTTCTTTAGTGCACAGTACTGTTGTACATCAAGGAGGTTATGCTGCCTATATTGATTCAATACACTTTGTTTGCATCTCTCACAGAACGGTTTCAATGGTGCGAGGACCTCTGCTGCTTTAGACAGTAAGTCAAACTCCTCATTTTTACCCTTCTTTCTGTGTCATATGCATTCAAGATGTATTTGCTTTATTTTTGTAATATATGATATTTATGCCTTCTCCATCAGCCACATCGAGTTCCTCCACTCCAAAACAAGAGTCTCCCTCTCTGGCCAGCAGCACAAGTGTTGCCCCTTCTGCCCCATCCTCACTGTTGCCCCCTTCTGTTACACCACACAGCTCTGCTCTGCCCAGCCTGGTATCTGAGCTGTCCTCTGCCAGCTTACCTCCCCTCAGCAGGTGAGCGAAATGCTTATTTGTACCTTTTCTTTGTATTACACAGTTCTTTTTCTCAAATGTTAAGTGGGATACTTATATCTGTGACACTGCCTGTTTTTCCTGTAGTCATGTGAGCAGTGGCCATTCCTCTGTGTCGGCACTTTGCACCACATCTTCACTTACAGTGAGTTCTGTAGGATGCACACACACAGACACGAACACGCGCACACTCTCTCTTCACCACCTCCGTCTGTATTTGTCCTCAGTATACCAGTGTTGACAGCGTGAACTCTCTCGCCCCCTCATCGATGGCGTTTTCCTCGCCGCCTGTGTCCGCTCTGCCCAGCAGCAATGTTAGCAGCTCAGCGAGTGGCAGCAACAGTCTGCACGGGTCTGGAGCTTTGGGTCAAGGCACCAATGGTAGCACACCTTCCGGTGTCAGGACTGTCCCGCTACTGTCTTCCTCCAGTGGTGAGAGAGAGCACACATCAGTGTTGTCACATCACCTTAATCATAACCAAGCATCACAATACCATGTAGTATCATAATACCATTCAGAATCAGAATGATCTTTATTCATATCGTTTAGATGCATTTCCTTATAGTAGGGCTGGTTTGTGGGTGTTCTGCTATGGTTTTAATTCCTAATTCATTTGTTTCTTCACATTTGAAAGCATTTGAAAATGGATTAAAAAATAAACGTGTAAAATAAACATACTTCATGAATATGACATCTGCCATTTTTCAAATATCGGCCGATAAGTTTTTCTGTCGGCCTTGGCGATATATATACCACTAAAAATAACATTTAGTCATGTGATGGCAAAGCTGGGTGCTCAAGAAACATTTCATATTAATGTTGGAAATAGTTGCTGCTTAATATTTTTGTTAAAACATTTTTTTGTAAATAGTTCAAAAGAGTAGCATTTATTTAAAAAAGAAATTTTTGTTAATATTATATATGTCTTATCGGTTACTTTTGATCAAATTAATGCATCCTCCTGAATAAAAGTATTCATTTCTTTAAAAAAAACTTTTGAATCATACTTTAAACTTAAGTTTATTGCATACATATAATTTGAAGTACAGCTTTGATGCAATAGTGACTAGCAATAGTACATTTACATTTAGTGTATTTTATTTTACATTTAAAATAGTAGTAACAGTAGTAACAGTACCACATTTTGAAAAATATAAAAACCAGGATGCTAAAATAGTACTGCAATATTATTCATCAAACATATAGACATTTGTAAACAAATGGACAGAATTCTGTAATGATTCTCTCACAGTGACTTGTTGCAGGCATGTATATAAACAACAACAAAAAAGGTGTTTATAATTTTCATATTTGCTTCCAATCTTATCATTAGCTCCTGCGTCCATTTGAGTTGAGGGGGAAATCTGCTATTCTTCATTCTCCAAAAACTCTTCCCTGTCTGTGTGCAGGTAAAGTTCCTCCTAATCTCTCTCAGGGGGTTCCTCCACTGCTGCCTAACCAGTACATCATGGGACCCGGAGGTCTGCTGCCTGCCTATCCGGTAAGCACCCTCATCCTCTTAAATCAAAACAGATCAGCTTTCAGTCGTCTGGGAAGTATTGAAGTGTATGTGGAATTTCAGGATTGTTGTGTGTGTGTGTGTTTGTTTGTTTTGGGTTGGGTGATTTCATGGTGTTGCTTTTATGCGCTCCTGTATAGCGGTGTGTTATTGTGTGTGTGTGACTTTTTAAAGAGTGTATTTGATGTGTATTTCTTTATGTGATGAAGTATAAGCATTAAGTCTGTGAATACTGAAATACTGCATATTGATTTCAGTAACATTTATAGTCTGTGAAGTGCTGAAAGTTCTCCTTTGTGTTGTACAGCAGATTTATGGCTATGAAGACCTCCACATGCTCCAATCCAGACTACCAATGGTGAGTCTGAGCCCATCAAATTCTCTTTAACGCTGCTGCTGAGCTTGTTTTTTCTTGATTATTAGTTGACTGACATTGAGAGCAGAATGGCAGATATAGATCTATGATATGAGACATAACTGCTGATATTCACACATATACAAGGCTGTTGGTAGGAAACATTTTGAATGGGAGAGCTAATATCTGGTAATGGGCCAAGCATGTGCAGTTATCAGCTCAAAAAGCCCAAAGACTAATCGGCCTGACCCAAGCTTGTTGCTATTATTATGTAATCGCCTGATTATGGTTATTTGATTATGAGCATTTGAGACAATATGACCATTCTAGATTCCAATCAATTTAAAATGGCCACCCAAATAAAAATAGAGAATATAAGCAAATAAAATAAAAATGCAGAAATCAAAGCTCTTCCTTTGTGTAAAATAAGTTTAAATTATTCAAATCTAGTTTAAAGTGAAGAATTTAGGACTTTAGAATATCTTGTGGTTGCAAAATTAATAGCATTTATATATGTGTGTGTATATAATTCATGCAGTGTAATTAAAATAACATTAATATCAATAATACAGGGTTCCCACTAGGGCTTGGTATCGATTCAGATGTCCCGATTCTATTCGATTTCGATTCGCAAGCTCTCGATTCGATTCGATTCTCGATTTTTTTATTACATTCAGTGAATATACTAAAGTCATCCGCGCCATCCGCCATTCATTCATTGTGGAAATCATGGCGCATATGCGTGATATCAAATTCTTCCGCAGATTTATAGTATTACTATAGCATTTCACCTGAGCATTG